CTAATCCATGGTAGTACCAATACTAGTATACGCGGGGAGGGAGTCCAGAAAGGGAACAGCCAGCATCCCTTTTACGGGAAAACGTGAAATCTCGACGGATTTGTTTTGTACTCACATGTAATATTAGGTTTTGCGGGCTTCTGAGTTCAAAAATGATGACTAAATCAGCTAAAAAGCAAGCGTTTAGCAACATACCTATGCAGAAGTTGGTTTGCCAGTACTTAATCCATTTTTAACACCTAGGGTACTCTATTGACATTGGTTGTTTATTTCATGGATTTGGCACTTGAGGTAGCTGATAAGCCGTGTCGAAAACGTGCACAAAACGACCATTCTGTGCACGTTTTCGACACGGATTAAAAACCAGTTGTAAGCACAAATTTTCATATGATCAAAATTTTGTGGTATTAAAGATTTTGTTTTAACGTGGTATGTACATTGAACTTTATGGGACTTTAATGCTCATCACTTTGTTTGTCAGATCAAACTCAAAATGGCCGACTGGTCGCCATTTTGTTTTTTAGTGAATGCAGTTTTGAAGCCGATTCTCTGATTTTCACGCAGGAACTATGTAATGCAGCTACATGTTGATTGAGGAATTCTATAATTTTCATGCACCCCCGCCCCCTTTTCCAGCATTTTCTTCATTTTGTTTTATTTCCTTATGTCATGTTTTTTGTAAATGGTATCAATAGAGGTCACACTTTTACTTTTTGTTCATGACTTCAGTCTTTAGCAATTTCAATGTATTTATAAACAAATATCTTAAACAAATATGTTTATAATCTAGGTACTAAAGGTGATATAGGACCAAATGGTATGTTAGGTTTACCAGGTATAAATGGTATTAAAGGTGAAACTGGTAAACCTGGTATTGATGGACCTCAAGGACCTCGAGGTAAGAAATGTGTGAAAATGTGTCAAAAAATCCTGTGTTTTTGTATGTATTTTTAGCTCCTACGTTCAGAGCACATATAGAAGAATAATGACACACCAATGTTTGTCTGGACGTATGTGTTGAAGGCATGTTTTAATGGCAGAATTGATCAGCTGATTTAGATTTCAAGAAGCACAAATGCTTTACAAAATGCCATCTATGGATTTTATGAAGTGCATATTTCATTTGTACTAGGTTTTCCTGGATTCAATGGCTTGAAAGGTGAACCCGGAGAACCTGGAGAAGCACATCGTGGTATTAAAGGTGAACCAGGTTTACCTGGATTAACAGGAAGACCAGGTTTACCAGGGCTGCCTGGACTATCTGGACCACCAGGTAGGTTGATTTGAGACTTGAGGATGATCAGGTTTACCAGGGTTACCTGGAATATCTGGACCAACTAGTAGGTTGATTTTAGATTTTAGGAGGACCAGACTTCCAAAGGCTGCCTGGAACACAAGATATGTTGATTTGAAATGCAGCATTGCTATAGTTACTCTAGGAAAAGATTGGTCCAGATATTTCAGTCCTGCAATTTGTTGGCTACAGGTACCAAACACATGAAGTACATGAAGAATGTTATTGATGACTTAAGTATTGTCAGCCAATGTGTAAAAGAACTCTATATGCATACATATTGCAATGTCTTATTGAATATTTATACCGGATTCTGCAGTAAATTGGTCCATCCAAAAAATCGCCCTAGGCGATTTCACGGCTGGCCCTTATTTGGGGTTCAAATGTTTTTTGGGGGGAATTCTATTTTCATTGAAAAATACACCTTGGCCAACTTTCAACACTGGCAGTTGGACCACCGAAGACGAAAGAAACTATTGCAGAAGCTAATCTAAAATTTGATACATTTTTTTCTTGCTGAATTAAAAAGTAGACTGCCTAAAATTTCATTACAATGTCACAGAGAAAAATCACATTTACGAACCTGCTACGCCAAATACAATTATTTTTTTTTTATTTTATTAAACGTGAGTAAATTTTAAAAGAAGTTTCAAATAAAAATGAGCACAACTGCATTGCTTAGTAGTAAATGATCACGATAGCGCAATCCGGTCATGCCCCGTTTCACAATTGTTGACTACTACTTACCATACTTGACCGTATTAAAGCCTATGACTATGGTAACCATGTGTAAATTATGCTTCGACAATGACCTGTTGATGAAGTCAAATGCAGTAAATATTTCATGCCATATTCAGTTTACAAAAATTGCTAGTTACCAGTTTTTTGAAGAAACCATGTCATTTATTCGCTGAAATCAATTCCAACAGATCACAATTTGACATTGATAATTCACTTCCGCATTGCATCTTTGAGAATTTCCAAAGAATTGCGTCTGTACAACACACCATTCTGATCGGTTAATAACAGACTTGACCCATTAGGTCAATGGATGTTGTAGGTCAAATCATGCAAAGACATCATGGCGGAAAGTGTTTTTCATAGAAAGTTTGCATACGATCCAACACATTTGTCAGTGGAGATAATATTATTAATCTTGTAAATTCGGGTGGTAGGGTAATTAATATTGTAATAAAATGTGCATATTTTTTGTGATCATTTCTGTTTTTTCATTGTAAAAATCATTAATGATGCAACTAATTTTGTAATTTTATTCTCCTTCAAAGATGTCGCCCTCAATCTGCCACATGGTGAATTAAAATTGTCATTTTCACTCTTTTTCGGGGGGGGGGGTGTTCGAGTAAGCGCCTATCCCTAAAAAAATCATGATTTTTTGAGTTGAGGACCAGTTGCATATTAAACGCTTGTTGCTGGATAATATCCCCCATGTTTGACCTGAGCGGTGTTCTTTGACCTGATAGTCAAAACGCTAATAACCAATCAAAATGATGGATGATGCCAACATGCTCAAATTACCATAGCTCATTTGAATATGTTAATGTAATTGAACACAATGCAGAAAAGATTTGCCGATGTTGTAGTACGATCTTTTGGCTTGGATTTTGATGGGAAAAAAGCATGTCTTTTCTTTAAATCAAAAAATTAGTTGTTTTCAAACGATAAACTGAGCATTTGAAGTATAATTTAACATTGTTTACAGTGATAACAACTGATTGTCGAAACGAAGCTTACCATTCAAGCTAGTCACAATAAACATCATACTATTGAAGTGTCAATGACTACGGTAAAACTTAAATTAGACTCTATTTTAGGTGTCAGAAAAAAACGCCCTTAAATTAAATTCTAAATATACTGTTTGTATCATGTTCAATATGGTTCCATAATGATGTAGACAAGACATGTAACATACATATTGGCATGAACAAAATGTTAACACTAGATGCACAATAACCACTGCCCTTTAATACTTTCCTTGACTTCTACAATGAACATTTTTCAAATGGAGTGTATTAAAATGCATTGCAAAATTATTTTTCTAATTGTGTAATGTAAGACAATTGAACAATGCAAATATACCTTGTATGATTTTATATATATATATACACACTTTTTACCTTGCCCGTACCATCAAAGATGGAAGGGAAAGGTATATTTATAAGGGAAAGATTTTGTCCGGCGTTGTCGTCGTCGTCGTTGTCGTCGTCGTTAATAATTGTTATTGTGTGCATGATAA